AATTACCAGAGAGACCATTAAGCAGATGGATGAACAGATGTTAGAGGAAATTAGTGTTTTATAGCAGAAATCATATGTAGAAGCAGAAACACAGGCAGTCTTTAACTGTGAATGAAATCCTGTGACAGTCTTGTAAAATAACTGGGTGGCCCAGTGACAGACTCCTGCACTGCTTTTCACAGCAATGATGAGAGTCTTGCAGGTGGTGTTGCAGTTCAAAGCGATACATTTCACTGGGGATTTTCACAAACATCCACCAGCCTCTTGTCTAAGTAATGAAACACATTTAACCCAGATGTCAGGAATGGGGCTCAGTTATTCAGGTTCTCTCTAGTGGTTCTCACTTCCCCAAGAAATCAGTTTCGGTTCAACTGACCTGCGGGTCCCTAGGTTCACACCAGACATCACTGATGGACAAGCAGAGAGGAAGAGGTTTGACAACACAAAGGGTGAAGAGCGAAGAGAGAATATGTAATGCTGCTTTCACTCTCGCATTGTTGTAACTACATGAAAAAACACAGCAGCGTAATGAAGGAAGGAAACTAAAGGTCAAGGCTGCTGCTACTGTGATGTATGTAAAGGATTACAATAAAGTACAATAAACTTGTGGCTATTGCTTGATTATGATTATGCAGTTGTTGTTTCTTTGATACTTAGATGTTGCAGAGATTGATGGGGTTTTTTCTCCTCACACTTAAATCTTCATTTTTCTAAGTACATCCATAAAATTCTAACCTTTTCTTCATCAGTAAGTGCATCTGACCTTTTTGCTCTATAAGCCTGCATTGTTTCCTGACACCCATATTCCTTAGAATTTATTCAATTGTTCCAAACTCCTTTAAATCACAATCAAGAGTTTTTACTTTCAAACAAGACCGATTTACGCTTTGGGTTTCCAGACCTCTGTGTGACCTCCACGGTTCCAGTAACAGTCATTTGATAATCACATTATGCACCAAGGAAAGAGCCAGCTTAAAGCATTTTGGATTTGTCTCGCAGCCTTCGTCAGTTTTTTTGCCCAAATATTTATTGCCTGAGGTTTAAATTACCTTAAACAAGCCATAATAATAAAATTAATCACCATGTCTTGATAAAAATAACAAATCTACTCCACTTCTTTCTGAAATTGTCACAATGAGAAATTTTAGCCTGCTGTTTCCAAATGTTTTCATGCCTCTGTGGGTTTGTGGAGTGCAAGGAGTAACAAGATAGCAGGCAGAAAAAAACATAATGCAAAGCAGGGTGGAAAGCGAAGATGGAAACCGTAGCTGAAAGTTAATCTGCCCAACTGGCATGGAGAAGAGCAAAGCAGCTCCTTCTCAAAGAGTATTGATTAGCGATTTGATGTTTGCTGCCTTTAGCGTCTGCTGTATTGTATGCACTGCTAAACCCAAGAGAAAGATGTGTAATGGCTCATCTGTCATGCTCTGCCTCCCAGCTTCTGTACTTAACTGATACAAAGCACAGTGAATAAAAGCACTGAGGTATGCCACAGAATCAAGTCAGCATAAATGAAGAGGGGAGGAAAAGGAGAGGTTTAATTGTGCAGTGCATCCCCTCTGTTATTCTGTCTCCTCTGCCGGAGAGAAAAGAGTGATGGTGCATCTGGCCAACGCCACCAGCCTCCGAGACAGAGACCATCACTGAGACAGATGCAGCTACCTGCTGAATTTCATTTCCTCATTACTGCTCTCAGAGAGCAGAGATGGTCTGCTGGATGTGTATCTTGGTCCTGTTGTGCAGCAGATTCAGTGCATATCTGATTTGCATCCTTTTTTCACTTGAAAGTAAAACCTATGCATTAAAAAATAACACTTGCTGTTTAGTTTGAATCAAAGAAAGGTGACTGTTTGTCTACTTGTTTTTGTGGTTCTTAATTCACTTCTCCCTCCTGCTCTGAACCAGCGCAACTCTTTGCTCTTGATTTTGTGTGACCAGTTTGTTGGAATAATGGAGCTTCTAATGGCCTTGTTGCTTCTTTCTTCTGCCTCTGCAGACAGTCTCATGGGCGTGAGCAAAAGGACGGCGGCTGAGCGGAGATGTTCAGAAAGAGGCCTCCTCCAGGTCCGTGCCTAATAATAAACACACTCAACATCTGAGTACTCAAGCTGTGTGAAACAAAGGAAGTGAAACAGATCTAAAATTAACCTGGTGCTATTTAGCTCACAAAAAATTTGTTTTACAATGCACATTTAAGCATTCATGTTCCGTTGCCATCTGACATAGATAGGAACTTAATTTAGGAATTATCCAAATCTATATAGAAACAGGAGCAAGATTTTGAATTATTTTAGTTTGTAGACAAAATATTGTGATCATAATTTGGATGAAAACTTCCAGGTTTCTTCTTCACAAGGTTGACTTGGTTTGTACTCACATCTATTTGTTTAATACTACCTGAAATTATTGTCTCTCAAACAGGTGAAGCTCAGCTACTTGCAACTCAAATTCAACTATATTATAACTAAATGAAATTCTATCAAATGTTTAGTAACAAGAG